ACAATAATGGAAAACGGCTTTTTTGATCCTAATATTTTAACATTGGCCAATTTAAACCCGAACCTCCAATTAATTCAAATTTAATATCCAAACATACGATTTTATCGTTGATTTAGACCTTGACCAAGTTACCGTTAGTCAACGTTAACGGAACATTAACATGGACGACACGTAGACAAAGGGAACGACCTTTTTGGACCAGAACTATTGCCATCGGGTCTTTTTGGACCTGATTTTTTAACATCGGTCAATTTAAATCCGAACTTCAAATTAATTAAAATTATTTAAAAAAAAGATTCACCTCATAATTCTAAATAAAAATCTAGATTCAGAATTAAAAATTAAATTATAATTTGATAAATATAAAAATTATAAATCCGAAATTTAAACTGAAATTAAATTTTCTAAAAAGTTACATTTAAAATGAAAGAAATTAATATTTTTAAACCATAATATTAATTATAATCATGATAAAATTATTTATATACTAAATTTTATCAAGTTCTAATTTCYAATCTTAATTCTAAATTTCATACCTAAATATCTAATTTCCAATCCTAATTCTAAATTTCAAACCTAAATATCTAATTTCCAACCCTAATTTTATCAAACTCTAATTTCCAATTCTAATTTTGGATTACCCCAATATTAATTATTCTTGTTTTCTTGCTCTTCTCAGTATTCACTTTTTGGATCTATATTAACGGTGGAACTAATCCTTGGAGCAATAATCTGTGGGAAATTAGCAGATTTGGTTGGTACGTAAGTTTTCACTTGAGAAATATTAGTTTCACGTTACAAATTTAATCATTCAATTATGGAAATAATGATCTTTTTATGTGATTCTATTTGAACCAGACAATGTGGATCACAAACACTCTCTTCATAATCGGCTGGTTCACTATCGTCTTTGCCAAAGTTTGCTATTTTCTATGGTTTTTTTACTAGTATGATTTTTTAGATATTTATTTGTAAGAAACACACTCCATTGGGGTGTTATTTATCTAAATAACATACCATTTTATTAATTAACATGTTAGAGTTTTAAAAATTAATATTAATTTATATTTAGAAACATTTTATTGTGAAAATAGTAATAATTATGAGAAATTTCAGAAAATGCTACTTTTTAAGTGCCACTTTACAAAAATGCCACACTTTTGAAATCTTTACAAAAATGCCACTTTTTCAAAATTATTTTTTCTTTATATTATTTATGTTTGGGTTAATTATTTTCTATTAGAGTTTAGTTTTGAGTGTTAGGGGGTTTTAGGTGTCAAAACATTTTTTAGGGTTTAGAATTTTAAGATATAGGCTTTATAAATCTATAATTAGTGGCATTTTTGTAAATGGACACTCATAAGTGGCATTCTTGCAAATATGCACACAAAAAGTGGCATTTTTGTAATTGTCCCAATAATTATTTGGAATTTAGAATTATGATTGGAAATTAGAACTTGATAAAATTAGGATTGGAAATTAGATATTTAGGTTTGGAATTTAGAATTAGGATTGGAAATTAGATATTTAGGTATGAAATTTAGAACTAAGATTGAAAATTAGAACTTGATAAAATTTAGTATATAAATATTTTATCCTGATTATAATTAATATTATGGTTTAAAAATGTTAATTTCTTTCATTTTAAATGTAACTTTTTAGAAAATTTTAATTTCAGTTTAAATTTCGGATTTATAATTTTATATTTATCAAATTAAAATTTAATTTTTAATTTTGATTCTAGATTTAAATTTTTTTAAATAATTTGAATTAATTTGAGGTTCGGGTTTAAATTGGCCAATGTTAAAATATCAGGTCTAAAAAGGTCCGATGACAATAGTTTTGATCCAAAAAGGCTGTTTTCCTTTGTCTACGTGTCGTCTATGTCACTGTTCTGTTAACGTTGACTAACGGTAACTTGGTGAATGTCTAAATCAACAACAAAATCGTATG